AAAACAAGTTCACTTCAAAGAAGGGGAGCATTGTTGGTTGCTACCTATGTCTGCTCGACCATCTATTCCTGCATTGTCTTTGGTTAGTTTTAATCTTTTGCAGGATAGTGTTGACATACATCATGTGCATTCGGATCATGGAGTCTACATGCTTGCTGAAATTTATATGCGAGATGACATGCTAGAAACTTGGAAACATGATCACGTTCCTTCTCACAATTATTTCGGTTTCCTTTGTCCTCGCAACCCCGTTCTCCTTTATGTTGTGCAGGATCAGTTTCAAGCACAATCAACGTCGAGGATGACTTTTCATCAAGAAGGGGAGGATGATGAGGACATGACACCCATGCATATGACCATGTTTGGTGCATGGGTGGAGGAGAAGGAGGCCAGCAAGGGTGTCAAAGTCAAGAAGGAGGCCGAGACTAATTCGATTCGAGTCCTCGAGGTGGAGGCCCAAAGCAACTCAAGTTCGAGTCTGCCTCGGAATCCAGGACCAGTCTGCCTTAAACTGGTCACCCAGGACACATCTAGACTCCGTTTTCGATGATCCACATATGGATGGAAAGCTAATTTGATAAGGAAGCCAATTCAAGTGGTTTCACATCAAAATCTGTTCGGAATCAACGGAAATCGTCGAAACATGTTAGCGTCCAGAATCTGCCAGGGTGCTGCGACACCGTCTTTTGATCCGTTGGACCATGTATCGAGTTTGGGCCCATTAGAGGCGCGTCCAGGGGTCTTGCACGACCCTAGAGTCTTTATAAACAGCCGCCGCCCCTCCATTAGGGTTCGGATTTTGTTTAGATTATTCTGTCAAGAACTGTTTCGCCGTTCAACGGTTTGTGAGACCCCAACTTCGTGAGATAATCATTCATCTGCAATTTGGTTGTGTTCTTTCTTTTTCTTGTTTGTGTTCTTCGTTGCGCAGGCAAGGATTAGCCTTCTTGTTTAGGTCAACCTGGTCCGTGACTTGGTTGATAACCAGAGGAGCTGTGGTGCTAAGATTGCAGGCTTCGATTTTTCGATCTGAAGCTGGATCGGTGTGTCATTCTCCGCCACAACGATAATTACCATCACCTGACGGAAGATCGGGATCCCCGTCTCCATTAGTTGCTCCGCCTGGCCGCGACGAGGGTAGCTTTGTCCGACTGCGACAAGGGTAGCTTAGTCCGGCCGCGACGAGGGTTGCTCCGCCCGGCCACGACGAGGGTTGCTTTGCCTGGCCACGTGCGTACTGGACATTAGTCAATGTTGCAGCGAAAAAGATATGCATGTTTTTTTAGCACAGAAATAGAACGGCCATGGGAATGCTTATCTCGGTCTAGATAACCCTCAAGAATCACTGCGAGGTCGACCCGAGCTTGGCGTGAGTTGCACAGGAGTTCCACGAATCCCTCGCGTGCCACTGCTGCCGGAGTGCAGGACCTTCGCAGGTCGCTGACGCAGGGTCTTCACGTGTCGCTGCTGCTGGACCTTCACTTGCCTTGCGAGCACGTGCTGACGAGACGGCACGGAAGTCGGGCCACGTAGGCTTGTGCAGAGCCGGAGTATAGCTTTGTGTTGGCCACAGTGTGCGAAGGTCCCCGAGCCGTGGCTGTAGCCTCGCTCTGTTTGGGCCACGGACCACGAAGTGGCGCTAGTTGTTTTGTCAAGTGTACGTGAACCTTCGCACGGAGATTCGGTGTTCAGATGTTTTTTTTCTCTCTCTGGCTTTCGATCTTCCCACGGACGCTGTTGGAATCTTGCCCTGCAGCCCTGCGCTACTGCCCTCGCTGGGACGAGATTGTGGCTGAAGTGGCAAGAAAGACAGGCAAAGCCCTAAAGAATCCCGGGATCGCCTTCTCCCATTCCCTTGGTTTCTATTTATAAGGGAGGTGGGAGGAGGCATCTCCATCCCTACCCTTTATGGTTCATGAATTTACAAGGAAGTCCTCAGATTTATTAGGCGTTGGGCCTTTTTGCATGGAGGAAGGGAGGCGCTTCCGCCTCTCCCCCCAACAAAGGTGGAAAGCGAACCACGCATTCACACGGGTCCATCAAAGTACGGTCAAATGGTCTGCAGAAAGGGTGATCTTGTCCTCAACGGCCATATTTGGGGCTATAAATAGGACCTCAAACCAGGCAAATAAGGTGTGGAGGAGTGAGAAAACATACCAAGAGTGTTGCTACACCATCTTTGTGCTCTCCACATGCATAGTGCTTAGTGATACATTTGGTGTTTAGCGTAAGTGCTTTGTGAAATGCTTAGGTTTGTTAGACCATGCTCACATGCGCTTGCTTTAGGTTTAGGCCTAGTGTTTAGTGAAGTTTGCATACCTCTTACTATCAGGGCTTGCGCGCACTATTGTTGTACTCGGCGGGACTTGTAGTCTTGCGAGACCACAACAACCGTGTTTGTGGTGTGGCCGCCACCGTGTACCGGAGGTAACAAGGCCCACGGCATTTCAGTCGAAAGCTTGATAGTGAAGACGGCGGGGAGCGGTCTGGAAGAGGCTTGCCGGAAGGCACACCGGAGACCCACTTACGCGTGGGGAAGGCCCGGGGCTATCCATAGAGTTATCCGACCGGGAGCTTGGCCCCTGTGAGGGATTCCTTGCGAGGGGCTCCAACAAGGACAAGAGAAAATGTTGCGTGCTTCTCGATACCTCGGTAGACGAGAGTTTGCATCTTTACATTCCGTATTTATATTGCTACCTTGGTTGTGTGCTTTACTTTCCTTACTTAGTTGATAGCCTAGTTGATAGGATTGGAACCAAAAGAGATGACAACTTTCTACCCAATGTTAGGGCACGGTTCCTAATAAGGGTTTGATTTTGTAGCCAAGCTTATCAGTTACCACCACCATGATACAACTTTCCTCCCTCTCCCTCTCCTTAATAATTGAATGACAAATCTGTAGAAATTAAATTCTTGTGGCAGGATCATTATATTGTGTATGAAACTAGTGACGATGGAGCCTAGCCTGCTTATGGCTATTCGTCCCAGTTGCTAGACCCAAAAATAAAACTATTTCCTCAGCGGGAACGATCTGCGCCGTTGTATACTCGTGATCTGGCCAAAAACGCAAAAGAATTCCGTCATAGGTACGGAGACAACTATCACAACAAATGTACTAAATCCTGTATCTCTGCCAATGTAGCTGATAGCATATCTTCGCATGGAGTTATACAGATGCACCCATAGTAAGATCATTAGTCCCTGCAAGCAAGAAAAAGATTAGAAGACGGCTAATAGTAACGTATAAAAAAAAGGCTGAGGGGAAGCAATTGAATATTAGAATATGCCCTGCAAACTGTTATTTGAATGGTTCGTTAAAAAAACTAATTTGTAGGACTGCCATGCACATACGGTGTGGTAAACATGATTGCTTTCTTTCCTGCTCTTGGGGACTTAATGCAGGAACCTTAATTTACGTGGTATAAAGAGACAAACGGTTCAAACTTAAAAATACATCTGACTTTTCTTTTTCTTGTAGAAATCGTAAGCAATAGATAATTGTAGTAATCAATGGAGGAGTGGGATTGCCAGTAGACAATAATGATAACTCATAAGTAGGAATCAAACACATAGCTTATAATAGGAAGCTGAGAAATATGAAGAAAAAAAATTGAATCCTGACCGAATCACTTATGTCCTAGGTACTTCCTCCGTTCTAAATTGTAAGTAGTTTTAACTTTTCTATATATACGTAGACATAGCGCATATTTAGGTGTATATATAGTGAAAAAAATTAGAGCCAAAACGACTTATAATTCACGATGGATGGAGTAACAATTAGGTACTCAAAAAATAGCAATAAATCTACTACATAAACATGAAGTCCTCAACACATAATAAACAATTAAAATGGCAGAGCTTGCCCACACAATTCAAGATAAATATTAACATATAAATATCTAAAATCGAGAAAGAAAATATAGCTAATTGCAATAGCCAGTAGAATACAACGTGCTTGGAACTAGTAGCAAAAGAGATGACAACTTTCTACCCAATGTTAGGGCACGGTTTCTAATAAGGGTTTGATTTTGTAGCCATGCTTATCAGTTATCACCACCATGATACAACTTTCCTCCCTCTCCCTCCCCCTCTCCGTCTCCTTAATAATTGAATGACAAATCTGTAGAAATTAAATTCTTGTGGCAGGATCATTATATTGTGATGAAACTAGTGATGATGGAGCCTAGCCTGCTTATGGCTATTCGTCCCAGTGCATTAAATTGTAGATAGAAAAGGATTGGATCAAACCATGCATGCATAAATTTTAAATATTTCAGAACCCCGCGCCACTGCGCATGCAATCAGAAAACCTGATACCTAAAAGTTAACCTCGATGTCTGCCGTCTGCCCTGCCATGACCATAAACGACCCCGGCCGGAAGCTAAGCTAGCTAGCTAAAGGCGGCTGTGCATGATTTAGAGAGAGACTCATGATGCATAATTCGCAGAGGGAAAAACAGCGTGGTACGGTGCAGTACGTACCCGGAGGATGAACTTGGCGAGTCTAAGGATGGTGGCTATCAATATGTCCCGTACAGGGTCCCTCTCCGCGGCAAGCTCCATGTACCGTCCTTTGGCGTGGTCAATTAACGCGCCCAGCTCGTCTCCTCCTCCTCCTCCTCCTCCTGCTCCTTCCTCGGGGTCGGTGTGTTGCGGTCGCAGCAGCAGCATGCTTCGCAAGGCATGGATAGATGACCCGGCGATACGCCGACGACGGAGTGCGGCGGCCGCTGCGATTGACAAGGGAATAGATCGATCGAATTAAGCACACGCTTTTCTGATTCGTTCCTGAGTCGAACAAAACTAGTCCTGGCTGGCCCTTTATAAATTGTTTTCAACGTAATAATGTATAATATAAATAACGTGTATAGATAGGTCTCAAATTTTACAACGGGAACCCGAGTCGCACGAGGCCCGGATAAATTACGTGCGAGCGTGCGTTTACCGCATTATATATATATATTTCCAATATAATCGTGATCGCCGACGCCCTAGATCGATATGGAAGAATCAACCAAGCAGCTAATACAGCGCGGCTTGTGCGTCTGCGCTTGCGGCTGCGGCGGCGGAGCAAGAGGAGGTGAGGTCGTCCCGAGGGGCGGCACGGAGGAGTTAGTGGTGGACCTCGAAAAGGGACAGCTGGGACACCGACACCGACATCGGGAGGAGGATCCACCGCCGGCGACGGTGGCCGACGCGCTGCTCGCCAGGGACGAGGAGATGGGGACTACCGCCGATAAAGCTATCAAGTGCATCTTACGGGTAAGTATATTCATGTACTCGTGCATATGCGTGGGGTTTATTTGTTTACTGGCCGGATCTGATATATCCATCGTTCTCAAGAGCTAGCACACGAGATCGATGCTGATCGATATAGGTATATAGTGTTTCATTCAACTAACGGAGAATACTCTTTTTTTAATCTAATCTTTATCTTTAAAGAAACAAAAGGCAAAGGGAAAATTAATTTGGAGGGGAGAGATCGAGTAATATGATCACGAAATTTATTAGTTCCCCTTATTTTAGCGATGGCACATCTCCCATACAACCGGCTTGAAACAACTTTATATATGGGCATTACAATTCATTGGCAAGATAGATTGTATATATGTCTTCTGCGCTTTCAGATTTTTGTGTTTTTTAATATATTATTATATGATTCTTTATATATTTTGCTTTTTGCCCCTAAAAAAAATTTCTGCTTTTGGAAATCAAAATGCATGCATGCTGCTTACTCATCGTCTTCTCTTTGCTTTTCTCCTATATATATACATGCATGGGTGGTCCTTCCTATATATACTCCGATCCTATATATATCATTCAATTTACATGTGGTATTGTGGTCCAATATATATAGTCCATCATTCATATATCTCATGTTTTGCTTGATTCCTCTGTAACTCATATTGGTTGTCATAATAAAAGATAATTTCTTACCAAAACTTTTGATTTTTGGTTTAATTTGCAGGGACTGATCGTCTTACTATGGGTCTATCTGGTCGATTGGATGAGAAGATACATGACCACCCACAGCACCGAAGAATTAATGTTCACTATATGTCCTTTGGGTACTCTCGTTATAGTTGTGTCTGTGTTCTTTTGCTTATTGATGGGTTGCCTGGATGAATGCATGGATGAACCCGAACATTCCACAAATAGTTACACAGAGTAACGTACCTAGTTTGGTTTTCCGCATCTATATTTCAGATGATCTCAGGCAACACTCTTGTACGATCAACTAGTTTGGATGAGTATACAAGTAAATTGTTACTTTTATGAATTGTTATTCGTCTTTGTAGCATAACATATCAAACTTTTTGTCTTTCTCACAATGTAGAAATAATTATGAATTGTTAATTGTCTTTGTGCCAATAAAGATCAGATTTTGTCAGATTTGTGGTTTTGTCTAATGGTCTTTTTATTTTTGGAACCAAAAATTGCAGAGTATAAAATATATAAATAACCGTTGACTGAAAGGAAAATAAACTCAGGCACCTGAATTTTACCAAGTCCCTAATAGTTTCATTTTTCTTTTTTGTTGCATTTGGAGCAAATCTTTGTCCCTTGTCCTTCTATAGCATAGAGACAAGGAGAAGGAGCCTCATTTCTCTTCACTAAGAAAGTTTATACCTCTATACTAGAAGGTTATCGATCTGCGGTGCCAAGTCTTGATTGTAAAGTAAAGTCTTGATTGTAAGTAATGGCAGTAGACTTGTCGAATGACCAACATTTCCATGAATCTGATGCAGGAAAAATTTTGTTTCACATTGTTGGTTGGTATATTAATTTGGCTTGCTATATCCTGTATGCTGTCTAACCTGTTGAACTCCAGTGAATTAAGGAATCGAACTTGTATTTATCTAATCTAATTTATTACTCCTGATGGAGTTACGAGTCTTAATTGCGACCAATGTTATATAATTAGTCCTAAGACAATGCCAGGGCCGTCTCTATAAATTAGACAGTAAGGACCCTTTAAGCTAGTTTTTTTTATACGATAACTAAATTATATAGTAATAGAACTTATTGCACGTATTTAGTTCATATATAGCTTCAGGCTATGCCAACCAAAGCTAAGGACTACTTGTGAAAGGTAAGCTACTTTCCTGTAGTAGTGTGAGGTATTAGTTTGGATTTTTTTTTTTTTTTATACTTGCTTGGGCTTGAGTTTTGAAATCTAAAACAAGGCAGGTAGCTTGATACATACTGTTATAGAGTTTTTGCTTAAAACTTCAGCAGTGCGAGTACTAAAACAAAGTTCTCACATTATTAGCTAGTATTGTCAACTTAAGTTTAGAGTTCTTTCCTCTGCTATTAAGCAACTTATTTTGTTGATTATATAGTGCTACCTTCATATATAGCTTCTTTTTTGTTGTTTCTACCTTCAATCGGCAATCTATGCCACATCCAAACAAAGTGTTGTCTCAGGCGGAACAGAAATCTTCAAAAATGCCTGATGGCATTCGTGTTTTGATTTATTCTCAATTGCGCAAGAATCTTATTGTGCACACATAAAAATTTTATTCAGTTTCGTCTTTCTATGAAGCAAGAAATTTTTGTTATAGCGTTAGCCAAATGGTCAAGGCAGGGCGCCTGAAGTAATGTTCTACTTATGCCAATATTTGCATTTATAATATTACTAAAATACATGCAATTAATTGCACCTAATAAAAATAGAGCGTATTCCTTAAAGTTCCAAAGCTTCCTAGAATCATTTGTTTTAAGATATTATTTGTTGAAGTTACGTACTGCTAGTTGTCATAAATCCAATGCTAACATCATTACAAATAAAGTAGTGGCTATCCTTGGCTTTTACAACTATAAAGCAAAGAGGATCACAATTGGTTGAGCAAAGGTACGGTTACACTTGAATGTTACATTAATAAACTCTTATGACTTTTGATACAATGAGAGTTAGCTTCTCTTTGGATAATATTTGTTGATTAACCATTATCATTTGAATAAAAAATGGACTCACTAGAGCAACCTACTCATGGTGTGCAACTTTCACTTCACCAAATGTAACAAATCATGAAAGATAAAAGTTTAACTTACTAGAAATTAAAATCAAAATACTCAATAAAATGCCAAACTTTAGCATATATGTAAGGAACCAATTATGGGATCTCGTAGAGATACAAAGTATGGATGTGACCATAATGCACAGGTGAAATATATTCAGGAGCATGAGAGGACACAACTAGGATATATATAGAGGGCGGAGTCTACAAACCAGAGCTATAGTGAAGTAGATAGTGCAGATTTGTGTAGAAACCAGAGCGATTGTAAAATATATATTGCAGATTTGTGCGATAGTGAAGTATATAGTGCAGATTTGTGTAGAAACCATAGCGATAGTGAAGTATATAGTGCAGATTTGTGTAATGATGTTACTCTATGTAAAGATTATTTAAGAATAACAACATTATCTGTCTATTATTATCGCAACAATAAACAACAAAATAAATAATTTGTACTTCTACATCCTTTGGTTGGAAATAGCCTTCTTCTTCACAATACACGTCTCGACAAATTAAATATTAACTTATTAGATAAACACTATAGACCATAGTATTTTTTTTCTTGCACCCTAGCGTAATGTTTCTATAATCTATGTCATGATTATGTGATAAGATTATTAAAATATTTGTAGGATCTCTGGTTAGTCTAGAGGGGGTGAATAGGCCTGTTAAAACAAAACTTGAACTTTTGTTAAATTCAACCCACGGCACTGCCGCTCTGACGGCACTACCGAGCTACAACAGCGGCACTGCCACACCTGCAGACAACTTTGAGATATAATTTAAAATAAGTGAATGGAAACTTGAATCCAAGAATTTACTGAGGTCCCTGCAGGTGTGTAGAATACAGATCGACAGCGAGAAGTGGTAGAAACACCACACACAAGTAGATCGGCCATAAACCCTAAAAATCACCTCAACAACAATATGAATCACAAGAATATAAAGCAAGCACACGGTGACAAAATGATTTATCTCGTGGTTCAGCTCGCCACTAAGGTTTGCCTAAGTCCACGTTGTTGAGGTTAGCCACTAAGGCTTAGATCTTTTCAACCCTTTCTCGTTCTCAAGTCAAGAGACTTAACTCTTGAGATGAGGGGTGAGTTTATAAACCTCTCGGGGCTGCCACACAAGTTGGCAAGCTCCACGGACGATGCTCTAGCCGGCTAGGAGCCAAGTTCCAAGAGTAACAAACACAACCACCGGCCAAAATATGAATCAAGTGCTCTTTAGAGTTTGGAAATCAGTGGATCTGCTCTCTAATCGAGTTTAGCTCCTTTTTCTCTCAAGGATTGATGGGAAAATCAATGGAGAAGCTTGGGAGCTCAAGGTCACCAATGGAGGAGAGAGAGAAAAGCACTTTTCAGCTTCTGCACGAACTAAACGGCTGGAGGAAGAAGAGAGAAGTTGGAGGAGAAAGGGGAAAGGGGAAAGTATAAATACCCCCTGCCCCCAACGGTCACTTAAGTTGCGGCAGTGCCGTGGCTCAAGTGCAGCGCATAGCGGTAGTGCCTCTCTTTAGGTGCGGCACTGCCGCACCAAGCAAGACAGCAAGGGTAAAGAATGAAGTGTTGGCTATCTTGGCTGAGTAACTGAGGATATAAGTGATAGATTGAGCACTTGGTAGCACACTTAAGCTTAAGCAATGTGTCCCTCTTTGTAGTACGGCTTTTCCTATACTAAAATTTGAAATATAAAATAATTTAAACTTCCTTTTAGTTTGAAGCCGTCAACGTTTGTAATCGGGGGCTCCTCCATTTCGTATAACAACCTCAAGTATTAATTCCCTGCTTATCATCTCGATAAATCTCATTAGTCATCTAATTGCGTGGTCATTATCACTAAAACCCACAAGTAGGGCTTGATTGCACTTTCAATCTCCCCCTTTTTGTGATTGATGACAACCCAATTAGAGCTTACAAAAGATATGAAATAACTTACTGAGATTTTTGAGCCATGGATGTAGAGTCTCCCCCTAAATGTATGAATGGAGAATTGAATTCTCAAGTTGGCATAAGAGGCAAAAATTCACATTTTTAGTGAAAGTGAAGGGGCTCCCCTACATTTATGCTCATGTGGGGTGCTGCACACTATGTCAGACAAATAATTGTGATGCAAATGACAGTTCATGCACAACAAAGATCGCTATGACAACTGGATGCGGCACTGCTGCTCCATAGCCACGACACTGCTGCTCCATAGCCACGGCACTGCCGCAGAACGGCACTATCGGGCCTAGGTGCGGCACTGCCGCACTTGCTATAACAGCACAAGTAAAAACATGCACCACATAGTATGTAATACTCATATAAAAGAACATTCTAGCACAGTTATATGACAAGCTACAGCACAGATCAATACATGTCCATATTTCACACATATAGAGTACATAGGAAGCATTATTACACAAATAGAGTTTTGAGCAACTCTCAAACTCTTAACCTAGTGAAGACTACTCTTAATGGATTAGAACAAGAAGCTTCTGCTGCAGCAACCTCCATGGCGTCAAAAAGTTGTTGACCCCTCTAATTTTCTCCCCCTATGGCATAAAGCACCAAAAAGAGAAGAAAAGAAGAAAAAACAACAAACTCACTCCTCATCTTCTTGGATGCCCTCCCAGTCGACATCATCGCCACCAGCAGCCCTACTACCACCTGCAGCAAGACCATCACCACCATCATCATCGTCGGGAGGAGGACACCATCGCCCTCCCTTAGCGATGTGTGGTCGAAGTGTGGCGAGTGTGTCTAGTGCTCCTCCTCAAGGACTGCAAGGTCGAGGCTAAGGTCGCTTGAGGCTCAAGGTCCGGCTGCACCTGTTGCTCCTCCTCCTCCTCATCCTCAGACTCCATGTCAGAAAGGCTAGGGAGGTTGTCAAACCTTGGCGGTGACTCAGCTGGAGGAAGGGGTGGCAGCCCTGCATGCTCTCTAGCCACTCGGTTGGCTTCACGGTTCTCCAACCGGTCCTCATATGCGGTCCTCGCTGCATAGGTATAGATAGTGAAAATGGCCTTGATCCATTTCCCAAACTTCTCCATCTTCTTTCCTTTGTGAGACCTAGAGCGGGAGGACTCGGGCATGTCCTCAACTAAAGGAGAGCATCTCACTGCCTTGCTAGCACCTGAGGCTTGGGTCTTCTCAATCTTGTAGAT